AGACCTGGTAACCATTTTCCTGAATGAGTCAAAAAAATAAAAATAAAAGAACCTCCAAATTCCTTGGCAGGGCCAAAATTTCTTAATGAAGAAGAGATCTCCATCTGTGTCGTCTTCCAATCAAATTCAAACACATATATCTTTCGTCGCCGTCGAAGACATGTATCTTTGCATATTAGTCATCTTGTGTGCCGTGTGGAATGTACATACGCAAGATGTTGAAAATTCACACACAACGAAACGTGAGAAATATTAAACCAAGGCATATGCATATTTGCAAAAAAAAATTACATACAACTTTGAGAATGCCAAACCAGAAAATTATACTCCAATAATGTACTGATAAAGTCTCTAATGAAAGTTGCAATTGATTAAAGCAACCGTATGAAGTTTTAAATCAAGATTAGAAGAGTCTACATCAAACTAAACAAGTAGGGACGCTTGTAAATTAACTCTGAGGGATCTTCTGTCCAAATTAGTTGATGACGACTTCAGGATTTCAGGATTTCACAATTTCAAAATCCACATGTACATCTACACGAAGAAGCATTTATTGGGTTTGTACTCTGGTGGCAGATTTTTGTTAAAAGGGGGTAGCATGGATTAAGTAAAGACTTTTCAAACATTTTCTATGCCACACATCTACTTGGAAGAAGCTCTGCAACTTCTGTTGCTTCTTGGAATGTTCCCTTCTTAATATTGTTGAAATTATACACATATAAACAACACAAAGAAGCCATACAAACAGTAATAAACGAACTACGAATAGCATCTAGCATTCTATGGCGAACAAGAATATGAGGTACCACCTCATTTTCTTCATCATCATTTTCTTAGATCTGATCAGCCTCTATGGAAAATCCTTAACTATTGAGGAAAAGCGAACAACAATAGCATCAAAGCAAATGGTACGTATCGGTGTAATTCTTGACTTGGATTCTCCGATTGGGAAGATGGCTCGAAGCTACATGTCCATGGCACTCTCTGACTTCTATGCTAGAAACGCCACTTATCGAACAAAGTTGACTCTTTCTGTGAAGAACTCTAGCAAGGATGCTGTTGCTGCAGCATCAGCAGGTACATTAATTAATCTTATTTTGATAAATTTTCAGCTAATTACTGCACTTCTTCCTTCATGCCGGCTTTTCTTAGATGAAACTAGCTAGACAGATCACTCTAGCTCAAATATTGTACTCAGATATTAAATGATTTTATACCACGGTGTGATTGTTAAATATTGTATCCATCATGCCATGATCATCTGCAAATTGAACCTTGATGATATAATTAATATCCATCATCTCTTGATTGATGTCATTTCTTCTATAAAAAACCAAAAGAAGAAAGAAACTCATCTCTTGATTGATTGACAATCTTAACAATTCCTTTTTTTGGCATCATATCATCTCCTAGATTGATTGAATATTGTTCTTAATTAGCTTCTTTTTTTCCAAACAAAAGGCGACATAATTTTATTAGATCAATATGAATAAGAAGTACAAGGGACACAGACTGTAAAGGGAGTCATCCCAATAACAATATGGCAGACAAAACTGAAACAATATGGAGATAATCACTCTCAAAAATAACTTTACAATTCCTTGAAACAATTATGTATCATATTTTTATAATTCGCAACAAAATTTTTATTTATCTATTCAACAACTTTTTACCATGATATTTGAACTCTAGATCTTCTCCACGACCAAAGGGTCATTCACAATTCCCAACGAATTTGGTCTGCAAATTGCTATTAATTTTTTGTATATATGATTTTTGCAGCTTTAGAATTGATGAACAACGAAGAAGTGCAAGCTATTATAGGGCCCCAAACCTCAAACCAAGCCAAGTTTGTGATAAATCTTGGGGAGAAAGCTCAAATTCCCATTATTTCATTTTCAGCTACAAGTCCTTCTCTAACTCAAACCCAAAGTCGTTTATTCATTAGGACAGGCCTAGATGACAGTTCTCAGGTAAAAGCCATCACATCCATTGTTAAGGCATACGGGTGGCGCGAAGTTGTCCTAATCTACGAAGACACCGAATACGGCAATGGTTTGATTCCCTACATAACAGATACTTTTGAACAGATCGATACAAGGGTCCCTTACAGAAGTGTCATGTCTCCGTCATCGAGTCCCTACCAAATTTTGAAAGAGCTTACCAAGTTAATGGGAATGGAGACAAGGGTATTCTTGGTCCACATGACTGCTTCACTTGGATCAAAAGTCTTTGTTCATGCAAAAGAAGCTGGCATGATGAGTAAAGGGTATGCATGGATCACAACTGCTGAGTTATCGACATTATTGCATCCAGAGATGGAGGAGGCAAAGGTCACTGGTTCAATGGAAGGTGTGCTGGGTGTGAGGCCCTATGTACCAACCTCAAAAGATCTTGAAGATTTCAAGCTGAGGTGGAAAAGGAGGAAATTGCCCAATATTGGCAAGACAATGCAAAGCAGTTCTGAGATTAACCTGTTTGGTTTATGGGCTTATGATACAATCTGGGCTTTAGCTAAGGCTGTAGAATTGGTTGGACTGGAGGTGAATTATTCTAGTGATGTTTTAAAGCACAAGACTAATAGCAAAAACACAGATGAAATGTTTGGCATAACTGTCTCTAAAGCAGGTCCAAGGCTTCTCCAAGCTTTGCTGCGTACCAGTTTTCAAGGCCTAAGTGGGAAATTCCAATTGATTAATGGACACTTGCAACCTGCGCCCTATGAAATAATCAATGTGGTTCGTAAAAACGAGACAGTTATTCGATGTTGTTGGGCTCCAAACGAAGAAGCATTTCATGATTTAGTTCAAATTTCTAATGCACCTAAGCCTATCTGGCCTGGAAACACAAGTACTCCACCAAAGGGTTGGGTTATACCTGTTACTGGAAAAAAGTTGAGGATTGGGATACCCGTCTCGTCTAGTTTCAAAGATTTTGTGAACATAGACTGGTCTCGTCATACCAATGAGCCTAAGATCTCAGGGTTCTCAATCGATGTCTTTCGGGAGGTCTTAAAACGGATGCCATTTGCAGTTTTGTATGAATTTATTCCGTACATGAATAGTTCAACAAAAGAAGCTGCTGGGACTTATGATGAGCTTCTTTACCAGATTAAGCTGAAGGTACGTTGTTGTCTAATCTTTTAACTCCTTTTCTTTTTTAGTTTTCAATATACAAATCTTTTTAAACACAAAAATGCTACAATATGAATATGGTTTGAATGCTTTAAGTAAATTGTACTCTTCTCCATAAGGAGGTAAATATAGGAGTTTACATGAGTGCTTTACAAGGAAATAGATACAGTAATCAATTAGGAGAATATCTCCTAATTAATTATACAAGGATATGTCAAGTATAGAAAATAAGAAAGTAAAGTAAATCCCAATAAATCTCCTTGATTAATTAGGAAGGCTCACGTCAACACTCATCCTCAAGTTAGTGCATATACATCACCAATGCCCAACTTGGTAAGTGAGTAATAAAACACACTCTTCCAGAGACAGCTTTTGTTATATCCGCCAGTTGATCTTCTGATTTTACGAATGGTGGACAGATGATCTTATTCTCAATTTTTTCTTCGATGAAATGTCTATCCACCTCAACATGTTTGGTTCAATCATGTTGAACTGGATTATGAGCAATATCGATAGCTGACTTGTTGTCACAATGTAACTTCATTGGCTTTTCTAGTTTGAAACCCAATTCTATCAAAAGTCTTCTGATCCACAATAATTCACAAACTCCTTGAGCCATTCCTCGATACTCTGCTTCTGCACTAAACCAAGAAACCACATTTTGTTTTTTACTCTGCCAAGTGACTAGGTTACCTCCCACAAATATAAAGTAACCCAAAGTGGAGCGTCTATCTATAATGGAACTAGCCCAATCAGCATCTATATATTCAACAACTTCAAGATCTCCATTTTTTTAGAACATTAATCCCTTTCCAGGGGCTGACTTTAAGTATCTTAAGATCCGATCAACCACATTCCTATGAGAAACACTGGGCGAATGCATAAATTGACTAACCACACTCACAACATATACAATATCTAGTCTTATGTGTGCCAACTATACCAACCTTCCAACAAGGCGTTGATATTGTTCCTTATTGGTTGGTACTTGGTCCATGTCTTCACACAACTTGTGATTTATTTCAATGGGCGTGTCAGCAGGCTTACATCCAAGCATTCCTGTTTCATTGAGTAAATCCATTACATACTTCCTTTGAGACAGAAATATACCAATTTTTGACCTTACTACTTCGATTCCAAGAAAGTAGTTTCGATCACCTAAATCTTTCATCTCAAATTCCTGAGACAAATACTTTTGCAGCTTTAGTTGCTCTCCAATGTCGTTTCCAGTTACAACTATGTCATCCACATAACCAATCAATGCACCAATTTTTCCTCCATCATGCTTCAAGAACTGAGTGTGATTTAGTGAATCTGCCAAATCATGCCCTGTGAGATTGCGTTAACCCATATAATGACTTTCTGAGCTTGCAAACTTGATTTTTCTTGTCACGAACTAAATTATATCCTGGTGAGAAGTCTATATATACTTCTTCTTCCAAGTCTCCATGTAAGAATGCATTTTTAACATTGAACTGATGTAATGGCTAATCGAGATTTGCTGCTAGAGACAGTAGGATTATGATAGTGTTAATCTTGGCTACTGGGGCAAAGGTCTCCTAATATTCCACCCCACATCTCTGTGTGTACCCCTTTGCCACCAATCTAGCTTTATATCTTTCAACGGATCCATCTGCTTTGAGTTTCACAGTGTAAATCCACCTGCATTCTACTATCTTCTTTCCGTGAGGTAAGGACACGAGCTCCCATGTGACATTCTTTGGGAGAGCTCGCATTTCTTCATTCATGGCTTCTTTCCATTTTGGGTCTTCTAGTACTTTAGTCACACTGTTGGGGACAGATATGTCAACCAACTGCTTCACAAAGTGCACACATGACTCTAATAATCTGTTGAGAGATATATAGTTATTGATGAGGTATTTCCCTTTGGCTTTAAGATCTGTTTTGTACTGTACTCGAGGTTTTCCATGGTTCTTCCTTTCTGGAAGATGATATGTAGGCTTTGTGCCTTCTGAAATCAAATCATCATGGTATATTTCATTAGTGTTATCAGTTTCAGGGGAATGTGTTACATGAATGACTTCCTCAGCAAATGATTGGTGTGGTACTGAAGCTGAAGGCATCTCTGGAGCGAGCAAAATCTCATAAAACAGTTCAATTTCCTCCTCCTGATTTTGGCAGCGTGGAGACGACCAGTCGGTTTGAAGCAGATTCTCCGTTTGTAAAGGACTAAGGGGGAGCCACCAGTCGCTTTGAAGCAAAGATGTGTCTTGAGGAAAAAATTCGAGAATTTGTAGATTGGTTGATTCGCAATTCTCTTCCTGTGCTGCTGAAAAATATATGTCTTGTTCCCGGAACACGACATCCATGGAGGTATATACCTTCTGACTTGGAAGGTTATAACATAACTAGTCTTTTTTATGAGGAGCTTAGCCAATGAAAACACACTTTTCTACTCTAGGATCCCATTTGCTTCGTTGGTGATCATGTAAGTATACGAATACAACACAGCCAAAAATCCGTGGTTAAGGTTTAGGGTGGGAGGTATTTGGAGATGGTGGTGAAGTGTTTGAAGAGGAGTTTGGAAATTCAAGATACTTGAGGGAATCCTATTTATAAGGTAAGTTGTAGAGAGGACGGCCTCATCCCGAAAAGATCGAGGCATGTTGGCACCAAATAAAGATGCACGAACAATTTCCAATAAATGTTGATTCTTTCGCTCAACAATCCCATTTTGTTGGAGAGTATATGGACACGAGCTTTGATGTATGATTCCATGATCCTGTATGAAGAACTTGGATTCGGGCTTGAAACTTTGTTTCCAACATTTTATGGAACTGTTGAAACTTTAAGTCATGTGTGTGCAATCATCTATAAACGTGACAAACCATCGAGCTCCTACTGGAGTGGCAATTTTAACAGGTCCCCAAACATCAGAATGAACAAGAGAAAATGGAAGCAAACTCTTATTTGAACTTAATGGAAACGGGACACCATGGCTCTTAGCCAATTTACACGTATCACACTAGAAGCTAGAAACATCAAAACTGGAAAATAATGATGGAAACAACTTCTTCAGATAACCGAACGAGGCATGCCCAAGACATTTATGCCATAGCCAAACTTTATCTCTGTCCCTCACAGAACGAGTCCCACTTGTTGTGAAAGCTTGACCAACCTTGGTCTCACTATCCGGTGCCCAATCCAAGTAGTATAGTTTGTCCCGCCTAGACTTCTTCTCCGTGAGGATGTCCTGAAAATTACAATGATTCAACCAAAATGTTACAGTACACCCCAAAGTAGTAGTAAGTCGTGAAACAAACAACAAGTTGACAGGACCCTACCCAAATTCCACTTTGGAATCCGTGTCGAACCCTGTGCGTGTCCAACACCTGGCAGGTGTCGGGCGCAAATGACTAAAATGCCGTTTTTGCCCTAATCTCAAAAACTGCTTTAGGATTCGACTTCTACTAGAAAAATGGCAGAGTGTCCTCTTAAAAAGGCTCAAAACCCAAAAATCTACCTGCACAGCAAACTGAATTATTCCTACGCATTCAGCAAATTCCACTTTACAAAACTAAACATAACAAACAAATCATAAACTTGCGGCTGCACCTAGGTTAGCCTAGGTTGCCTACATACCCTTACTGAGGGATAAAGCCACGCGTAATTCTTTCTACCAAAAATCACAATTCAGATAAGTTAATATTGGTCATGGTAAAACCAACAATTAAATTCTAGAATCAGTCTTTACTTTGTTTTCAACCAGCTATATAATTGAATGTCATTCCATGATTATGTTCCTAGCTGTTCAATTAGTTTATCATTGTACATCCAAACAATTACATAACCAAACCTTTTACCAAAAATCCATACATGCAATCATTCGCATATTGCATATATCCTATAATCACCCACAATATATGGGAAAACCATCAAATCCGAAGGCAACAGGGGAAGGGAAAACTAGCTAACCACCTATGTATCCTAGTCAACCATGTGTAGATAATGTAAGCAGGGTGGTGAAGAATATCCTGTTAACTATACCACAATGTGGTACTGCACTATTCTCTGCATAGATGTATCTCAAACATAATCCATCAATTCCAATGATACACTGTCAATTTCCCTCATAGGACTCAGGAAGATATATTCAACCTGAGAACGCAAATAATCCATCAATTCCCCTCGCATCACAAATGTGGCCACATGTGTGATACATCCTTGCAAAACTCAAGGGATATGAGGTCGACCCAAGATGCAATCCTCGCAGAACTCAGGGAACACATGATCGGCCTGAGACTGCAAATCCTCTGTCAATTCCCCTCGCACAACTCAAGGAGATATACTAAACTTGAGAATGCAAATAATTTGTCAATTCCCCTCGCATAACTCAGGGAGATATACTCAACCTGAGAATGCAAATCCTCGCACCACACGGTTCGAGCATCCCCGATACTCGTGGGGCAATGTCATACGCACGTAGACAAATCTGAAGGCAACTAAGATGTCCGAAGACAATTCGAAGGCAACCATATGTCCGAAGACATTCTGAAGGCAATAAAATAGTTAATAAAACTCTTGTAGCAAAATACCAATTTAAAATCAAACAACCAAGCCACTAACACCTCCTAACCAAAGAAGGCTCGATTAGGCCAACGAGGCCCACCATCAAGGTCAATTACGCTTGTGGGGCCCACGAACTCTTATTTCTGATCTGAAAGTTTGATCTCGATCGAACGGTTGGATGTAAGCCAAAAAGTCCCGAAAGTTTGATCTCGATCAAACAATCGGATGTAAGCCAATCGCACGATTGGACGGCGATCGTTTCACCTAAACTTAGAATCTTTGACTCAAAGTATCCGGGACCCCGATTCCCGATCAACAAGTCCTACACGATCTTAGAGTTATAGAGAACAACATATTTGAATTTGAGACCGATCGAACGATCTGAACCTACCGAATCCAGATATCGCATAATAGGTGCAATATCCATTCGACTATCAAACGATAACCAATTCCAAATCTGAGCATACCGTCGTGCTCAGGACGACAAGGGGAACAATTTAGAACGAAATGGACCACCACACAGTGGCCCATGAGCCGCCACCCCCCCGCAAGCAGCGCGTAGGTGTCTTGAGAAATTTCCAGCAACGGAAATTTCTCAAAACACCCCACAATACCCATACCAAAGGAATCAGCACACCTATGGAAGCATTTGTTTGTTCTTGGACCACGGCAAAAAACTGACCGAAACTAATCGGAACGAAGCCAAAACCTTCAGTCAAAACCAGGTTTAAGAATCGATCTGTAAAACCTTAAAATCGATCCAAACTAAGTACATAAATAGGTAGAGCATGATGAGAGGATGAAGTTTAATACCTTACTCAACGAATTTGGTCGCCGGAATCGCTCGAAATCACACGAACACCACTGGAGACAAAATCGAATTTTGGCTTGGTTTCAATCCAAAATCGAGGCTAATCTTGGAGTTTTGAGGTCGATCAAGGTATGGGTTAGGACGAGGGGAGGAAGGCAAAGAGATTGACACCAACGACGCTGGCAACCATGGTCGGACAACGTCGTTCCGTCGACTGGAATGCGCGACGTCGCACGGAGAGGGAGAGAGACAGAGTAGGGGAAAGAGAGAGAAGTTTTTATTTATTTATTTATTTATAATTTCAACTTTGCAAAAATTACGGTTGTGCCACTGCACTTTCGTAGATCATAACTCCTCTGTTTCAACTCCGATTTGGGCCCACCATGTGTCTACGAACTCATATCGTCGAGCTCTACGTAACAGTGCCACTCAATTCCCCAAAAATCCTTCCCAAACAAAAAGTGACCGATGTGCCCCTACCTCCAAGGGCAAAATTGTAAATTAACAAATGGAAATAAATTGAATAAAACAATAAATTAGGTCGAGGTGTTACAACAAGTTGTGGTCCAATGAGGGAACAAGCAATACAGAATCCAAGTGTATGGAGTTAGAGAGAGATAGAGAGCCCTCCCCAACCACAGAGGAGAGGATACCATTAGCATTAGATGACAGGACCCGACCCAAATTCCACTTTCGAATCTGCACCGAACCCTGTGCGCGTCCGACACCTGGCAGGTGCTGGGCACACTTAACCAAAATGCCCTTCTAACTAAGACTCAACAATTCTTTTAAGGTTTGACTTCTGCCTAAAAATCAGTAAAGTCTCCCCTGTAAAACGGACATTTCCCAAAAACTTTACACCTGTAAATATACAATTCATATTGAAAACCAAATCTCAATCATTCAGCATGCATTCTGCCATCGGAATCTGGTCTCAACTCTTAGAGCAACATGAATACGTTATCAAGTTTTAATATAACTTAATTGAACAAATTTTCAGCACTTGATCTTGTGGCTGCACCTAGTAACTCTAGGTTGCCTACGTACCCTTACTAAGGGATCAAGCCATACGCAGTTCTTTCTACATAAATTGTAAGTAAACAAAGGTAACTTAATCAAATAAAATCGAGAAACCTTCATAAATAAATCAGATCAATCCACTGAAACTCAATCAAGGGCTATTGAGGTTAGAACAATCTTCTACTCATCCCACATGTGCATAAATATATATATATATATAATTAATTAACTTATTACTTATAAGTAGGAAAACGAGAAAATTGTTAAAATAGCATTGACCACGTGAAACCTTAATATCAATATCAACAATTTAAATAAAATATGTTTCCCTCTTTCACATGTAAAAACAAATTCATCACTTAAGAAAATAATTGTGAATTATATGTTTCCCTCAAAACTCAAATACTCTCCACCTAGGCGTACCCCCATTCATGATCCGTTAATTCCACTAATATTCCGTCAATTCCAAGTGTCATTTAAGCGACACATCCTCACAAGCCTCGTAAACACAAAGTCAACCCGAGCCGCATTCCTTGCAGAACTCAAGGGACACATAGTCAGCCCGAGAATGCACATCCTTGCAGAACTCGGGGGACATGTAGTTAGCCCGAGAACGCATATCTTCGCACCACATGGTTCAAGCATCCCCGAAACTCATGGGGCATTGTCATAAATGACAAAACTTTTTCAAAAGAAACTAGGGGGTACTCCTGTGGTGGGTTTGAAAACCATATTCCGAAACTTATCATAAACTTTCCCTTATTCCACAAATCCATTTTCCAAATCTTTTATCAACTTTCCAAAAATCAGTTCTCAACTACATTTAAATAATCCAATATCACTCAGTCATATACTTTAATAATCATAATAATAGTAATAAATAATGTAAAATATTAACCCTTAGTGATCCCATATCCTTATTAACCCAATTTAAATCAAATTTTAATCAAAACTCACTTATGCAAGAAATTCCATACTAAAATAGCGAAGTACACTTAAAAACAAACGTCCACTCAATCACTAATATATATAGCCGAGACCCACGGCTCACCTTCACAACCCACCAATCAAGTTTTCCATACTCATCTATTCCATAACTTCAATTATCAAAATAATATCCAAGAATTCCATAAGATACTATAAAACAATCTCATAATTCCAACATAATAAAAAAAACTCAAATAATAGTCAAGACTTATTTATGAGGTCGTTCTAGTACTTCTCGAAGGTTGGAACTACCTCGGAAGACTCACGGTAAACCGAGGGGTCAAACTGCCCAAATTGATCAACCAGGCCCACGACCTCCGATTTCCTATCCGAGAGTTCCTACGGGTTCAACAAGGTTTACTATACATGTCCTTCATGTTTGGTCCGAAACGAACGGTCGGATCGCTCACGGTCGCACGATTGGACGGTTATTGTTTAACGCAACTTTAAGTCATTGAATCGAAGCATCCGGGACTCCGATTCACAATCCGTGAATTCCTACACGATCCTAGAGATACCTAGATCAACATATTTGAAAATGAAGTCGATCTAAGGGTCCGAATATATTGAACCCGGATAACACCTAATATGCGATATCCGATCAACAGTCAAATGATAACCAAATTCAAATCCAAGCATACCGTCATGCTTAGGACAACATGAGGATCATTTTAGGACTCAAAGACCTGCCACAAAGTGGCCCACAAGCCGCCACACGTGACAGCAGCGCATGGGTGCCCAAAGCGATTCCGGCGATCAAAAAATCTCCAAACCGCCAGTCAAGACCTATGTCTACATGATCAAGACATTGAGTGGAGCAACTTTTGTTCTTGGGTCATGGCCAAAAAGTGGCCGGAGATGGCCTGAATCACGAGCCGAAACTGAATTAAACTTGAAGCAATAATTTGAGTTTCAAAACGCAGAAATTGATCCTAAACAACCCAACCATCAGCTAGAACACATTGAGAGGATGAAAAGGCATACCTAGATCGACAAAAATGGTGGTCGGAATAGCCTGAACGAACTTCGGAAAGTTATGGGTAAAACCGACGACTTTTTCGTATTTTTCGGCGAAATATGGCAGCGATGGCGGCGGCTGAGGGGTGGGGTAGGAAGAGGACGACGTGCTGGTTCTTTTGGTACCAATGTTGTCGCTTGGGGTGGTCGGAGGAGGAGATGGCGGCCCAAAAACTGTTCGAATGAACAGTAACAGATGGGAGGGGGGGCTGCTACATGCAAAGGGAGAGGGGGAGAGAGAAGGAAAATCTGATTTTTAATAAACTCTTTTCAAAATATTTACGATTATGCCACTGGGCTTCCGTAGATCATAACTTCTTCGTTAAAACTCCGATTTGAGTCCACTACATGTCTACGAACTCATCTCGACGTGCTCTACGCAACGGTACTACTAAAATCCACAAATGTTTTCCCCAAAGAAAGTCAAATTTTAAACCCATTAAAATATTCTCGAGGTAAAATCATCTTTTTCTTGAATAATTTAATAATTAAATATTAATTTCGGATCGGGTTATTACATTAGACACCACTGACGGAGTGGTTAGTTTGCAGCTAACTAATAAGTTGGCCATGATCAAATGTCATGTGATTTGTAGTACCCGAGTCAATAATCCATGTGGGCTTTAGAAAGGACATATGAAAAGCAGAACCATTGGTGGTGGTGATGGAAGTACGAGCTCGGGTAGCTGGTTTAGCAAGAGTGACCTCATGCTTCTATGAGTCTGCAAGGAGGGAATGAATAGTAGAGGGTTCTGACATTGCAGCGGAAGTAAGATTTGATATGAGTGTGTGTTTGTGGTTAAGGAGTTGATTTGAGAATTTGAGGAATTTGATGTATGAATTTGATTTGAGAGGTACGTGGTTAAGGAGTTTGATAAGAGGATTTGATTTGAGAGGTAAGATTTGGATTTGAGGAATTTGATTTAGGGTTTGGGTTTGGGTTTGAATTTGAGGGTAAGATTTGAGGGTTTAGAGACAACCTAGGATCAATTGCTCTGATACCATGCTAAAATATGAATATGGTTTGAATACTTTAGGTTAATTGTATTCTTCTCCATAAGAAGGTATATATAGGAGTTTACATGAGTGTTTTACAAAGGAATAGATACAATAATCAATTAAGAGAATATGTCAACTATATAAAATAAGAAAGTAAAATAAATCCCCTAATTAATCAAGGAAATAAATCTCCTTGATTAATTAGGAAGGCTCAAGTCAACAACAAAAAAACAAAAACAAAAAAAAAAACCAAAACTTGGTTGTATTACACCAAAGCGAAAGCCGCAGTACCTACCTCAAGTTTTGTTTATTCTTGAAACTTTTTATACAACACTTGCTTTTTGAAAAAGAGATCAACTTTTAGTTTTGATAAAACTCTTTGATTGTTTTCAGTTTTCACTTAATTAACTTGCTTTTTTTTCCTTTAAAATATTATTAGATGATACTTATGATCTCACTTTCTACACACATGTTTTTGGATGAAAGTGCAGAAATTTGATGCTGTAGTGGGAGATACAACAATTGTTGGAAATAGGACGTCCTACGTTGATTTTACGTTACCTTATTTTGAATCTAGCGTTTGGATGGTGGTGAAAGTTAAAGATAACGAAAGAAAGAATATTTGGATTTTCCTAAAGCCTCTGAGTTGGGATCTTTGGTTGACATCTGCCGGCGCCTTCATCTTTACAGGCATTGTAGTATGGATTCTTGAACATCGCATAAACACAGAATTTGGAGATGGTTCACGAAAGCAACAACTTGCCACAACTCTTTGGTTCTCGTTTTCCACTCTTGTATTTGCACATAGTAAGTCTTACTTACCTGCACATTGTGGTAGAGTAGTGTTAGATATACCACAAACATTTATCATATTACTGTTCACATTTCTTATTGCAGTAATTTTCCATTAGCAAGATGTTGGAGTTCTCTAAACCTCACATTATGTAAAGCTAACTATATTGAATCTTTGTTTAATTTGATTCACATTGTAATACTTCTGTGAGAAAAGTGAGATTAAGTTTTACTAATATTTTTAGGGATTTTACTATAATTAGGGGGTTTCATGATTTCTCTCTTTCTCGTTATTTTTTCTTTTTTTTGTTACGTTGTAGGGAATCCAACCATGCACGTATCCTAGTCCTAACCCATTACCCCACCCTCCCTCCACTTGAGCTAACTCGGGCTTAGACTTTCTCTATTTAAAGCATTGTAAATTATGTAATCTATGCTATATGTATCTTTCTATAATATACTCCTTTCTCTTTCAATAAATGAGAATATGGGTTTTGCAGTTTCTTCCTCAGTTAGATTTTTCTTTTATTGATTTCTAACAATTTGCATAACTTGCATGATATATCTGTGTATCTAGAGGAGAAGGTGGTGAGCAACTGGACCAGATTTGTGCTGATCATATGGATTTTTGTGGTACTCATCTTGACACAGAGTTACACTGCTAGCTTGGCCTCATTGTTGACTGTAGATAAGTTGCAGCCAGCAGTTGATGATGTGAATGCGCTCAGACAAACTGGTGCTTATGTTGGATACGAAAAGAATTCCTTTGTAAAAGATCTTTTAATAAGCCAGTTAAATTTTGAGAAGAAAAAGCTGAAGGCGTATTCTTCCCCAGAGGAATTTCATCACGCACTGTCCAATGGAAGCAAAAATGGAGGGGTTGATGCTATCTTTGATGAAAGTCCCTACGTAAAGCTCTTCCTCTCCAAGTACTGCTCAAGATACATTGTGGTTGGACCAACCTACAGGACTGATGGATTTGGCTTTGTGAGTCTCTCTTCATGAAGGACTTTTGTAGGCCACAATGAATAGCATGCTAATATATTGAGTGGTTAAATGGTTTCAGATTTGAATGATTTTTTGTAGAGATGATCTTTGAGAAAATACCTAATTAGATGTTTATATTTATGGCTTATAAATAATTAGATACATATGCATATATATACGCGTGTGTCGTGCACATGCGAGTGTGTGTGTTGTTTAAACATGAAGAAATTAATTTTGTTTCCTTTTCTATTTCAGGCCTTCCCTCTAGGGTCCCCTCTTGTTGCTTACATTTCAAGGGCAATCTTGAATGTGACTCAAAATTATAGGATAATGGATGCAATGCAACATAAGTATTTTCCATATGAAACCAAATGTCAGGACCCAAGCTCCACATTCTCTTTCGACAATCGCAGTCTAAATGTGTACAGCTTCGGAGGCCTCTTCATCATCACTGGAGTGATTTCAATTTCTTCATGCTTGATATATATGGTTCATTTCCTCTACAACCACTGGCCTGCTTTGAGTTCCCTCCATCCAGAAGCCTCTGCCTTGTCAAAGATAGCAAAACATATCACTTTCAACCGAAAAGATAGCTCTGTGCTTGCTATAGAGCAAACCAATCAAGCAACTCATGTAAATTCTGTTTCTGTAACAGAGGCTAGAGGAGACGATGCTTCACCTTATGATAGGAACAACTTGCTGAGCCATGCAGTGTCTTTTGATCAAGGAATATCAGACAATGTTTGCCATAGATGAAGAAGATGATGAAATACCTTTGCATTCTATGGATTCTGGGCGGTTCATCTATGGATGTGCCTAATTTCTGGTACTTGTACTTATGTGTCCTCTTTACCTCTTCAAATTGTAGTCTGCTGAACATATTTGGTAACGTATCTTTGTCTTCTGTTGGAAATAAATCTTAAACTCATATTGTAATCTGGTGTAAGAGTAAGTATTGCTACTTAATCCATGTTTAAAAAAAGTATACTAGACCATTCATGTTTTGGATTTTTTTTTCTTTTTTCTTTAATTATTATATGTTGGTAGATATGATTTATTTAATTACTAGTTTCCCCCTCAAATCTAGACCCATATTAATCATAATTATTTGGTATTAGATCAAAAACTCTTTTTTCTTTTCTGTGCAGGGAGCGGTGAAATTTTTTAAATAAACTAGTGTGCAAGGGACCTGGACAATGTATCAAACCACAATGTATATCAACCCAAATTTCCGTCATATATATCAAACCACAATGTGTGCAAAGGACTCACTAGTGTAGTGGTTTGGAGCAAATGCTACCCCCAGGAAAGGTCCTGAGCTCGAGTCCTAGCATCCGTGTAGTGTGTATAAGTTTAGCAATATGCTATCGCCCCCTCAATAGGAAAGATTTATTTCTAGTAGGGTTCTCCGGAAAAAAAAAAAAAAAACACAATGTGTGCATCGGCTATAGAAAATTAACAATGGCAAGCACTCTGATGAACAAGATAAATCGAAGGCACAATTAAGTTATCCTCTTTTCAGACTCGTCAAAAATTTAAGAATTGGATTGATGAATAGTGATTAGCCAAATTCTATATAATGTGATCAACAAAAGCAATCATTAATATTTCATATAAAGACAACTATTATACTCTGCCCGTGGGGCCAATGTGTCAAGTTCCATTTTAGCTCCTTCCACTTGCATATTAGCATATTACTGGGTTTTTCTTGTTTGGAGCTTAATTTATCATTCAATCTGGATAACAAAAAAGAATTGTTGCCAACTACGTTTTTCAATTCTTTTTTTTTTTTTAAGTTAGAAAATAATCTATTACAGGTAATGTTGACAACAATGTTTACTCAATCATTTAGTACGTAGTGCTAATTAATCACATGTCTATCAAAAAACATTAGGTAAGAGCCATATGAGTTAAGCAGCCTTGCTTGCCTTCTACATTCCTTGCAGAGTTTCTATGGCGAACATTAAGAGTCACCTCAAATTCTTCTTCATCATATTCATCTTGTTCTTAGATCTCACCATCCACGGAAAATCCTTAACTGTTGACGAAGAAAATAATGGAACGACACTAGCACCGAAGCAAATGGTACACGTGGGTGTAATTCTTGACTTGCGTTCTTGCTAGAAATGCCAACTACAGAACACAGTTGACTCTTCTGTGAAGAACTCTAGCGACGATATTGTTGCTGCAGCATCAGCAGGTATACATACCATGTTATGAAGTTGTATAATTTTCATAATTTTAGCTGATTATTATACTCATCTGAAATGGTTCTTTCTTACCATGTTATGAACTTATTATATTTTAAAAATTAAAAAATAAAAGAGGTCCTGCAAGGTAGCACATGTGGGGCATGGCAGTGGAATGGAAACATAATCTTGTGGCCGAAAAACCAGTAGCAAAGAAGATTTGTAGCAACCGAAATTAGTCGCTGCCAAAAAGTTCCCCTGTTATTGTACTATTGTGAAAGAACCAAATATTATTAGAGCTACTAGATTTAGTGCAATGTCTGGGTACTTATATCTTATGACAATTTAAATTCTTTAACCTCGACAGAATTGAGTAGCAAATCTTTCCCACTGCTTGTCCTCAAATTGCTATAAATTTTGAGTTCTTTCATCATTTGTATGATTTTTACAGCTTTAGACCTGATAAAGAATGAAGAAGTGCAAGCTATTATAGGGCCCCAAACGTTAACCCAAGCCAAGTTTGTGATAAATCTTGGACAGAGCGCTCAAATTCCCGTTCTTTCATTTTCAGCTACAAGCCCCTCACTATCTTCAACCCAAAACCGTTTCTTCATTCGGACAGCTTTGGATGATTGTTCTCAAGTGAAAGCCATCACATCCATTGTTGAACCATATGGATGGCGTGAAGTTGTGGTAATCTACGAAGACACCGAATAGGGAAATGGTTTGATTCCATACATAACAGACTCCTTTCAACAGATCGATACTGTTGTGCGAAAACACTTCCAAGACCTTGTCGTTGATGGACTACGCAACAATCACAACACAAGCTACGCAAAGATAAATCGCACACGAAACCACAAAAGCAAACATACACAAGAACACACAAGAATTTATAGAGGTTCGGCGTCGTGCCTACGTCCTCTCCGGTGATTCCCGAGAAAATTCACTAGTATGAGAAAAATCCCTTTTGTTACAATAAAGAACTCCCTTTGATCTCTCTCTCTCTCTCTCTCTCTCTCTCTAGATCTCTTTTTCTCTCACCCTAGGTTTGTATATCTTGAACCCTTCTAAACACTAGTCTAAAGTACCTATTTATATGTATAGGCCTTTAGCACAATCATACAAGGAATAGGAAACTAAAAAACCTCCCAAAACTAGGCCAAAAACCGACCTGTTTTGAAACAGGAAATCGCGATCCGCTCGAGCGCCTGCAGTTTCCGCTCGAGCGCCTGCATGCTGGGCTTCTTCCTTCTTTCCTTCATTTAGTCGACCCAACTCCAACAATCTCCACCTTAGCGAGCCTAAACACCTTTGTGAAAACCATTGATCCCTAGAACATCTTCAAACCTCTTGGAAATCGTTCTAGTAACTCCCAAGAGCTCCACCTCAATCTTCAGCATGTAACAAGATTGAGCAAGCTCAAACAATGTCTGAACTTCTCAGCTGTAACTGGCTTGGTCAAGCAATCTGAAGCGTTCTCATCTGTATGAACCTTCTCTATCGCAATGTCCCCATCGTTCACCCAATCCCTTATCCGATGGTACCGTACATGAATATGTTTGGATCTTCCATGATACACTTGGTTCTTGGCCAAACATATAGCACTTTGACTGTCACACTTAATCACCACCAGGTCTTGAGCTATCCCGAACTCTTGTGCCAATCTTTGCAACCATAATGCTTCCTTAGAAGCCTCCGTTAGTGCCATATACTCCGCTTCAGTAGTAGACAATGCAGTGACTGATTGTAGCACCGATCTCCAGCTAATCGGTCCTCCACCACAAACGAAAATATATCCTGTGGTGGACCTTCTCTTGTCTAAGTCTCCCGCATAATCTGAATCCACATATCCCAACACACATGCCTTTCTTTGTTGTCTTTCAAACAAAATCCCAAACCTCTTGGTGCCCTTCAAATACCTGAAAATCCACTTCACCGCATTCCAGTGTTGTTTGCCCGGATTTGCCATGTATCTTGAAACTACACTCACAGCTTGAGCCAAGTCGGGGCGTGTGCAAACCATTGCGTACATGAGACACCCTACTGC